TGGGTGTCCCCGCTGGCAGAAATGTAAATATGTAAATAGACCTTTGGCTCGCTATGGTTTTTTAGTCTAGAGTGTACGGGCAGGCCTTGCAGGCCATGAGCCCAGGACCATGTCCGTGAGGCCCAGGTGTTCGGGCCAACCTGTACATACTCTTTACTGGCCCCGATTTGTCACCCTCCCTGGAATAAACGCCTCTTAAAAGTCAAAGTCTTTCTTTCTTTCTTTCTTTTTTTATATTGCTCCCACCAGTTTTTTATTTCTGCCTTCATCTTGCGTAGCTTGTCCATGATTGCTCATTGTGCCTAAAGCCCAGCCTGTCTCCAGCAAAATTAGCCATAATCTTCCTTTGCCTCCTATGGCCATGTCCAGATGAGCACGGACGTGCGTTACATGGCACCGCAGACCTGTCTGTGGTGTCACACACCACGTGCAGGCATTCCCCACACTGCTACCTTGCAGCACGGGGTGGGGGTTGACCCTGAGAGATTCTGGTGTCAGAAAACCCAGGATGAAAAAAACAGAGTAGTGCACATGATGGCACCGTGTGTCCCCCAGAACTGGAGGCTGGCCAGCCAGAGCCATTCTTTTGCTGCTGGCCAGGCTTCCTGCTGCGACTGCAGCTGTGGGAGGCCCTCAGGACCTGAAATAAGGCTGCTGAGGCCAGCACAATTGCTGGCCCCAGCTTCCCCTGCCCCACCCAGGTAACCTGCCATGCACCAGCGCACGTGTATCACAGGCATTGGCACAAGTTGTGCTGCTGCTACTTGACCCCGCAGAAACCAGTTCACCCTTGTCTGGACACACCCTATGAGGCTGAAGCCAGGCTGATCTCCAGTATTTGGTAGTAGGGCTGTGCAAAGTTTTGGTCCCTGATTCGATTCAGCGGTGATTCGGCCTAATTTGGTGGCCACATCTCCGAATCCAGATCAAAGCAGGAGACCCTTTAATCTCTCTGAATCGAATTGGAATCCTCTGAATCAATTTGGAGAGATTCAGAAAGATTTGGCGATTTGGACAGAGACACAGCTTTTAAATGATTTTTCTACATACCTCTAGGTGGCAGGGGCCCATGAATGCTGCAATGCTGGGGCACATGGAGTATCCCACACTTCTGGGTCCGCTGGGGGGTGCACGGGAGGCTTCCCCGTACCTCCTCAGCTTGGCGACTGGTGCCTCCTGGGTCTGGGGGGGCACCCAGAATCCCCGACACCAATAGCTGACCTGGTGGGGGGCGGGACCCTGCATGCTCCCTGGCAGACCCGGAACCGCTGAGCATGTGGAGGGCCCCCCCTGCACTCCTGTGGGATGCTTCATCCGTCCCATCACTGCAGCGATCACAAACTGTGCTGGTACCTTGAGGTATGTAGAAAAAACATTCAAAACTGCGTCTATGTCTGAATCGCTGATTCTCCAAATCAGCATCAAATCATCAGATTCGGATTCGGCTGAATTGAATCGGGGACAGTGATCCGAATCAACAAATCAAATCACTGTTCCTGATTTGGGCTGAATCTGAATGGAATAGGGCTTGCTTTGCACACCCCTATTTGGTAGCCTACTTGGGGCCACAGCAGTGCATGGGTGAATTTGGGGCTGCTGAAGACAACATTGGCAGATAAGGATAAGCAGGTCAGGAAACTGAGGCACTTTAGGGGACTATGAGGGCGGAGTGAGATGACTTCAAGGTAATGTGGTGCTGTAAAGAGGAATGATATGGTAGGTAGGAGAATGAGGTAGGGGTGAAGGAAGCCTTTGAATGGATGAGTTGGAAAGAAAGGAGACTGGGTAAATGGGTCAGCTGCCTATTCTGTCTAGTTAGAAGAGAATAAAAAGTCCCTAAGATAGACACTCCCCATGCCCTTGGAGTAGGAATGGTTAAGACACTTCCTCACAAACTGGGAGACCTGGACCATACTTGTGATAGAGAAGTATTGCAGCTCATTGCTGAGTGCACTGCCAGTGTAATTCCATTTCCACATCTCTCTTTGAGGTACAGCACAAAACTCAATTATCAGCTTTCTGATTTTAAGAAGTTAAATGACTCATCTTGTATGTCACCCATATATAATTGAAAGCAGGATCTGATTTTGGCTATTTTGAAACTACCGTACTCTCAAGGAGCTCTTGGTCCTGGCTGTGCCTTGCATGCAGCTGGAACAGAGTCCAGCAACTGACTTGGGGTAGGTGTGGGCAGGAAGAGGGTCTCAGTCCCAGCTGCATTTGAGGTACAGCAGGGACTGGGAACCCCTCAATCAGCTGAAGAGCTCTTGGTCCCGGCTGTGCATGGCCTTTGTGGTTGGGAGCCCCCTCAGCAAATGGGGGTCTTAGCCACGCACGCTGAGCCTTGGGGATCATGGCAGCCATGACCCCCAGGCCTCGGGGAGGAGGGGTTCATGCTGGGCAAGGTGAACCCCTGTGCCTGGGAGCCCTGTCAGCTGATGGGGCTCACAGCTGTAGGGGGAACTGTGCTATACATGCAAATTTAAAGCTCGATAGCAACCACCTATAAAGTTGGCACACACTTTGAGATCCAACTTTATAGCTGGTTGGAGCTTCTTTGCACATATGGCTAGTTATGTGATAGCTACTTTGCACATGTAGCTGGTTAATTGCGCAATACATGGGAAGTGTAGAGGGGCCTTGGAGATGCCTTGCTAGCCATGCAGCTCCCCAGTTTCTTGCCACTTGCCTAGCTCAGCAAACTAAAGGGGTGGAATCTTGTATTAACCCTTTCACAGCTGGAGCTATTGGCTGAGCACTGTAGCTTGTCCCTGAAGCAGCAAGTGAGCTTCTGGTAGTATCTTGATGAGGCTTGTGATGTGGAAACAATTTATTTATAAGAACTAAACTTCTTTATTTATAAAGAACTACTTACAGTTATTACTACTGCCTTTTGATAGGTCTCAACCCTAACCTTGTGTGACATAGTAAGTTGGGCTAGGAGCATAGCGTGGCATCTGAAGAGACAATCTACCCTACCAGGAGGTTCCTGGTGCCATGCTTCCTTTATGCTGTGTGTTATCAAGAGTACTTACTTTGTCACACAATTGGCCATGACTAGAAAAACTTTTTTTTTTTTTGCTGTCTTCTACAAAAACCAAGGTGTTTTTTATTAGGGATCATGTTGTATGTGATAAAATGCAGTATTTGTTTCCTTTTTCTTTATTCCAGAATCAGTAAGCTTACTGAATGATGTTCTGAGTCAAATAGAGTCTGAAGAAGGAGTGTCAGTGAATTCCACAAGCTCCACTGGATCTGTGGCCATTCCAAGCATTGACCATGTAAGTAAATACGTCTCTGCAGGGTGCTCAGCTTGAAGCTATCCAATGTGCTCAAACCAAGAACAAGCTTGTTCTGTGTGCGGTCAGAAAACCTTGACTTTGTTCCTGCCCAGTAAGTCAGTTTTAAGCTGTGGACTGATAACGAATAAGAAACAACTTGAACATACTCCATTCTGCCTTTTTATTGTTTCTTACTGAAGCTGTTACTGAATATATACAATTACCACCTTTCGTACTCTGGAACACATAGGCCCTTTAAAAAGTGTGATGTTTAGAACAAGGTTGAAGACAACATTTTATCAGATATGGTTTCTTACAAAAGGGCTCTTTCTTTAAAATTTTCATGCAGCTATTGTTTTCCCTCTCAGTTTTGGAGGCAGTGAGACTTTTTTTCAATATTAATCATTTCATAAACATTTCTCTTAGGGGCTTTTAATTCTGACTGTACGCTGAGCCATCCCCCGTTACAATATGTAAATATAATATACATTTTTTTTCTCTAGAATACTGCTTAACTTAACTTACAACATGTAGCATTATTTTATTGCCATACAGTTGCTTGCACTGTTATAAGCGTGTTGGCCAAGTCCAGGCAAGTGTTGACATTTGGTTCCCCAGGGAAAAGTAGCAGCAGCACAGGGAATGCCCATGCCATGTGTGCTTTGGCACGTGGCAAGGTGCCTCAGGTGGGGTAGGGGAGGCTGGGGCCAGCACTGGGCTGGCCCCAGATGCCTTACTTCGGGTGCTGAGGGACTCCTGGGGCTGCAGCAGTGGCAACCGGAGCCTGGCCAGTAGCCGGAGCATGGCTCCAGGCAACCTGGTTCCACTTTTGAGTGGCCTGCAGTCCCTGTGTGTGCACTGCTCTGCTTTTCTTTTCCATGGGCTTTTATCCGTGGGATATCTAGGGGTCAAAAAAAAAAAACCCGTGGAAAAACAAAACGGGGCAGCACGTGCGGGTGTTGGGCCCTTGCAGTGTGGAGAACTTCTAAATATGTGGTATGTGGCACTGCAGGTATGTTTGCGGCGCCACATACTGCATGGCTGCGCTCGACTGGATGCATCCATAGTGGCATAGTCTGTCTGTCTCTAACAAGCTGTAGATATACACACACATACTATTTATTCATAAATAAAACGTGGAAAATAAATTCACTACCGTATGAAAAATGTCTTCCCTTTAAAGAGGCAAGAATGCAAGTTGGGGCTCTATAAAGATTGTGTCTGCAAAAGGTAAATGAAACACTATGTAACTTTGAATTGTACCATATTTTTTTGTTTTACAGACCAAATATGTTGGCTACAAGTTGCCTCCTTTGATGTATAAGTATACTCACTTGGAACCTATTTTGTATGCTCTTGGTGTGGGAATGTCAACCAAGGATCCAGATCATCTCAAGTTTCTGTTTGAGGGGAATGAAGAGTTTTGCTGCTTACCCAGCTTTGGAGTTATCCCAGCGCAGGCTTCTATGTTGGATGGTGGACTGACTTCTGTTCCAGGACTTAATATTGATTTTACAAAGGTAGGTAGGAGTTAAATTATTTATTATTTGAATTAACTGCCTGCCAGTGGCTTTATAGATTGATTGACTGTAATTGAAATGTTTTAACACAGGGATGCTCAACCCCTGGTCCACGGGTTGGAACCGGTCCCTGGTCCCACGTCATCAAGGCTGTGGGGCTCCCCACAGGCCATTGTGGTAGATGGGATGTGCAAGGTGCCACAGGGCCCCCAGCCATGATCTTGGCATGCAGAACCTGATCCAGCCTATGGACCAGCCCCATGCCACTCATTTGGCCCATGGGACAGAAAGGTTGAGCACTGTTTTGATACATGCAGATTAATACATGAAGATTTGCCAGTCTCTGTTTTTCTAGAAAAACAAAGCGCTACTCTGATTTTTGGCAAACCTAAGGAAACATCTTCCATTGAAACGAGTTATCTATCTCAGTAGTACCGATTTCCCAAGTACTGTAAGCTGCTGATGAGGGGCACGTACGTGGTGTGCACACAACAGCTGCACTAAAGCAGAATGTCAAAGATGCAGCCCATGTGGAGCCCATGTGACGTGGGCTGTATATGGCATGGGGCCAGTCTGGGGTGTGTCCTTCGTGCGGCACCTACGTTGGACCAGATCTACATGCTGGTCTGGACTGGGCCCATAGATGGTCTGTCCATGCTGGATACAGCTCATAGGGCTGGTTTGGCTCAGGGTCTACATACAGTTCACATCCCAGACCTGTCTTGTGCCCTGCATCCTCATGTGGGGTATACGCTTCATGTGGTGCCTGTGCCAGGCTGGCTCCATGTGCTGGGTCCAGGGCCAGTCTGGATCAGACCCATAGATCAGGCCAGTCGTACATAGGCACCACCTCTAATGTGGGGCTTGGTTCTGCACAGGTTCCAATACAGTACACAGGCTGGAGCTGACGCATGTGCTGCAAGCAATGTGCTCAGCCAGTCCAGGGTGTACGCTGCATGTGGTGCCCACACCAGACAAGTCCCAAGAGCTTGATCTGGCACATGGGTTTCAATGAGTTTGACACCCTAGCACTAAAAGTTTCTGACAGGACATTTTCATTGTTGTTTACTATAATTGAGAAGCTGTGCAACACAAGATGTTAACACAGCAACACAGTTACACCAGCAACACAAGATGTACACAAGCAGTTAAACAAATGGCTTGGTGCCAGGAAGAAATAAGGCTTCAAACTGAGGTTATGGTCACCAGATTTAAAAATGTTGGAAAAATCCACTGAAAATATTTTAATGTTGGTTTTAACTTTGGAGTATCTTAAAATTTCTTTGCTGCTAATTCTCAGGATGTTCTTATCTAGATGTACTTGATAATAATCAAGTAATATTTGATAATTTAATAATTAATAATAATTTGATAATAATTTGATAATAATTTGATAATAATTTGTAATATTTGATGGTTTGTAAAGCTTCTGTAGTTTTCTAAACCTTGCAGTGGATAAATGTGTTGTCACTGGGGGGAATTTAGAGCACCTTGAAACTCAAATGTGTGCAGACTCATTTGTAGAAGCTTGTGTATGTGGATTTTCTTATCAATTATTCTGAAATAACCAACACGTGAGATTCAGCTTGCATTTTTGTAGTATTGGGACACCTGAAAACATGGCTAGAAACTGAAAAAGGAAAAATTTTGCACTTTTTCTTAATGACTTTTTGTATATATATCGATATAGATAGGTATATTTCCATAACTAGAATGTGTGTGTGTGTGTGTGTGTGTGTGTGTGTGTGTTGGGGGGGTAGGTGGGAGGGAAGGGAGCAGTGTAAAGTAATAATGACTGCCACTACAACACTGCTTACTTTTACACAGCTTCTACATGGTGAGCAATATCTGGAGGTGTATAAACCTTTTCCAACCTCAGGTACGTTCTTTAGCTGTTTTATATTAATTTATGATAATTTTTATAATTTTACATATTATTTCCTATGAAATTATGGATGCACTGTTTTACACTGGTGTCTGCTGGAAATAGTACTTCTTTTTTATGAGCACCAAGAGGAACAAGAAATCAGCTGTAACTTGGACTGTAATAAATATAGCTTAAAATGACAGTATGGATTCTTATCCTGTTACATGGATTAGCTTTTAAAACCCCTTTGTCCCTATGGATTTATTGCCTTGTTTTTTATCTTGAGCCCCCTCTACCTCTCAGCACTGCCCTCTCTCCTTCCTTCTACTCTCCCCCATCTTCCCTGTCTTATGTAGTTAAATCACTCCTTATATACCATCTGATGAAGTTAGCTGTTGCTCATGAAAGTTTATACATCTCTGATTCAGTTAGTTGACAGTGGTTCTCAAACTTTTTAGACAAAGCACCCTTCAGAAAATGCTAGCTCTTAGTTTTTTTCATTTAAGTTGGTTGTCTGAACCTTGAAGTTCATAACCATTCCAGGTGTACTTCGCCTTGTAGTAGTCTGTAAAGTCTTAATCCTGCAACAGTTTTCCCTTGTTTTGACCACAGTTCAAGCTGGGGGACTTGTATATAGTCTGTTACAGGATTAGAGTTTTAATATGTATCTTTTTTTTGTTAGTTCTAATGGATAAAATAGGCTATTTTTAAAAAACAAAAATGTCACCAGTGTTGTTTCATAATACATTCTAAATAACTTTTAATGTAAATATTTTGTGGTTCTAATACTTAGCTTATGTAAAATTCCAAAGATGCTTAGATAAGTTATAAATAGCTGGTTAAAACAGGGAGAAGAGGGCTGTAAAAGACATGGTGCATTATTATTTCAACACTTTTGTATATTGCAGTGTATGTGATTTTTCTTTTCCTTTCTCTTTCAGGAGAGTTAACTTCAGAAATGACTATTGCTGATTTTCTTGACAAAGGCTCAGGAGCTGTCATTCTGTTAGATGGTAACCACATTTATAATGTTTTAAAGAAATGCAATAAAAGCTGACAGGCTGAGAATTTAACCTACGCTAACAATAACTCTCAGGCTTGCTCCAGTAAAGGCCAAAACCTTGTTAACATCCTAGTTTCTCTGTTAGGTTGCCGAGAAACAAGTTAATGTGCAGCTGTGTGCTATTATGTGCATGTTGTCATGTGCTTTAGGATAGGTAAAATTATAAAACAGTATTTGTAATTTCAGTTCTTATTTTATTTGGGCAGAGATGGGGCTTCCCATAAATTGAGCAGAACTGGTATTGCAATGCTTGGTCTTATCTGAAGCTGGTTGAGTTGAGCAGTTTCTCTTAACAAACACTGCATGCATACGTGTGTATGCATGAATGCGAGTATATGCTTGTGTATATCTTCCAAGACTACTGCTGACTTGACCTTTATGGACATGAATTCTTTAGTAAAATTATCCTGCAATCCTTTTTCTGTTTTTAAAAAAGGAAACCAGAGTAAGCAAACAATGTCACAGGATCTTTCCACACTTATGTTGGCGATAAGGTTCTTTGACTTTGCTGAAGACCGAATTATGCTTCCTTCTGGTTATGATGTTTCATATTTCACAGGAGGATGGGTTGATGAAAGGCTCTCCTGGGCAAGGAATTTCTCTTGTGTTGAGGCAGCTCTGTGAACATGCAAATTTGGCTCAAAGCCAAATGCTGAAGCAAGGGTGTCAGCTTTCAGGTTTCAAGGTATTGAATTTTGTTTCCTCCTTTTAAAATTACCATCTTCCAACCAGGAAATTTTACAACACCTTTCAGCTCTCCTGTGGGATATGAATTTTCATTTCCACCTAGGAGAAATTTTACAATCTTTGCACTTTCCCATTCCTGAAGAAGGACACGTGTGCCTGAAAGCTTGCAAATAAAGACTTTTTTTTTTTTTTTTGCAAATAACTAGTTGTCTAATAAAAGATACCTCTACCAGGAATTCTGATTCCTTTTGCCTGCAGAACAGCATGGCTACAACCTGTATCCCTGAAACATGAAAGATATCGAAATTAGCCATTTTGAAATGAAAACTTCATAATTTTACAAGAATGAAGCAAAATTCAGCACCTTGAAAGCTGATAACCCCTGCTACATCCTTTTGCTTCAAGTCAAATTTACATGTTCACAGAGCTGCCTCAACATAAGAGAAATTCCTTGCCCACGAGAGCTTTACATCAACCCATCCTCCTATGAAATATGAAATACCAGAAGGAATGCAACATCCTGCTTGCCATCAGACAACTTTGAGGTAAATAGACTGCTCTAACTTTTATCTGAGCCTAATTTGCACAAAATGAACCTTTTCAGTCAGGAGTTCTTACAACACCTTTCAGCTCTCCTGTGAAATACGAGATTTCATTTCCACCAAGGAGAAACTTTACAGTCTTTGCACACTCATATGCCTGAAGAAGGGTGCGTGTGCCTGAAAGCTTGCAAGTAAAGACATATTTTTTTGCAAGTATCTAGTTGGTCTTATAACAGATATCACCTCTACCAAGAGTTCTGATTCCAATATTTCTTTGGGACTGTTATGTATGAGTTTGTCAATGTGTGTTTTTTACACTTGGGTTTCTTAATGGCTTCTAATATGTCACAGTTTATGGAATAATTCCATTGTTTTTAAATAAACAGCTAATGATGTATGAAATGTTGAAATACACATTAAGTTCAGCACTTTGTTTGTTGTCAACCATTGTGTAGCACTGGGAATGTCATCAGCATTTTTACAGCTCTTTTTATTTTAATGCTTTTATTTAAAGAGCGTCTATAATAGCTTAGTTGGAAACAGGGCATTAATCTTCACTACTTAGGAAATGACTTATGATGGTGCAATTCAAAAGGGAGCCTTTTGTCTCCTGTCTTGTGAAGATGAATGCTGCTATCTGTAAAACTGAGCTATTCAGTCTCCAGTACATCTGAGAGTAGTGCATGTTGGGTGTTTTTTAAGAAAAGGAGTCTAGCCTTTTTTGTTGTTGTCTTCTAGTTTATACCTACTGTGGAAAGGATCTATTGTGCTATAACCAGTTCTCGTTGTTTGTTGTTGGAGCTGGAGGTTTTGGGGGAAAACAAACATCTGAAAAGGCCAAGGTAAACTTCAGCTGTATTATTTTGCATAGAAATTAATGGCATCTTTCTCTTTTGCTGATACTAATTTTTTTTCCTTATATTACTATGTTGGTTGGGTATGATCAATAGCAGGTGTAATACATTAGACGACAGGCAAGTGGATTCTGAGGAGCTCTATGTTGACTGTACAGTGCCTGTTGACTCTGGGTTTCCATTACCAGTAGATGGCACTGAGCATGTTTGTGTAAATGTAGCTGGCCTGTCTGCTATTCCAGTATAGTTGCAGAGAAAAAGATTCTGTAGCTTTTTCTCTTCATTTGGTCTGCATGCATATAAAAACTATTTTTAATGAATAGACCAGCATAAACCTCTTTGGGTAACTACATTGCATAATGCTGTGCTGTCCGGAGGAACAGCACTGGTACAGACCAGTATAGCTGCCTTAACATGTGCTCTACATGGGCTAATTAGCTGTGTTTAAAAAAAACAAAAAAACCCCACAAAAAGGGTATATTAGCCTGGACTAAGTACCACACTACCATACCTATTCTGCTCCCAGGATTTGGCTTAGCTTGGTCAGCTTTAACATATGTACCTTTACGTGACACTGTATTCCTCTGAAGGTTTTTATCGCTGTTTATTTTCCTCTTCTGTTTGATTTTAATCCAACTGGCTTTGTATCATGAAGACTTGATTGTCCTCACTGTTGTGTAAAATCTGTGCTTTTTTATTTCATTATATAGCTCTCTCCAACTTGCAGAGGCTTTTCATCCCTGCAGGAAAAACTTAGCCACCATCTATGCTTTAAAAATGGCTTGACCTCACATTAGTAACTTCATTTGCAGAAGTATTCCTTTTGTTGTTGTTCAGGAGCTTGTTTTCACAGATTTATTCCAAAAAGGGATATTATGTGTTATATTTCTTAAGTTATTTTACTTAAAGATCTAGTTTGACTCTCTTTTTAACTGTAATGGCACAAATCAAGCCTTTAATGGCTTTTTAAAGCAGTTATACATCTGAGCACACTAAGTATTCAGTGTGGAAGAATGCAAAACAGTAAATGTAATTGGGATTCTGCAGCATATATAGTCTCTTGATATACAGTTATACATTTATTCAGTGTTTTCTGTGCATTTAGTAGAAGATGGTTAGATAGGAAGTTTCAAATAAGTGATAGTATCTTTGTTTAAAATGGTTTACAGAATGTGCTACTGCTAGAAAAAACCTCTAGATGTAGCTCTTTCTAAATCTTATCTAGCAAGAAAGGGGAGGGATCCTTAGAGAGAGAGAGAGAGTTTGTGTCAGAAGCACAAAGGGGGAGGGAAAAATACAGCATTATTTTTTTCCAAACAATCTCTGTTATTACCTAGAGTGAAATATTTGCATTAGGGGAGGGAGTTGATAAGTGACATGTCATGTCAGAGTGAGGTTTAGTGTGTGTATATAAGTCCAAATGAATGAAGCAGCTACTCATTTGACATGAAAAACATGGCATTTAATTAGAAAAAACCCACCAAGTGCAGTGCCTGAGCTTGATGACTATGCTGATGATCAGAGCCTTGAGGCACCACTATAATACAATAATAAACTTTTTGCAGGCAGTGTACTGTAAAAATTAATTTTGGTGGATTATAATATGAAGCTTTTGCCTCCATAGTCCTAAATAGATTGTTTCTGAGATGGCTGCAAGAAGCAAACTGACCAGCAGAGCTTGCTTTTTTACTTGAGCTTGTGTTCCATTGTATACAAGCTTCCTAATATCAAGGTCAAATCTTGAGATGCCCCAAAGGTAACCATGACGTGACAGGGGAGCTGGAGCATCTTAGTATAACATGCTCATAAACTGAAGTTTGAAGAATTACTCTTGTTATGCATGAGGCAGAGTATTTCAGTGTCTTCTTGACAAATGGAAAGCTGTAAGCCCTGTTTCAGAGAGCCCACCTGTATACTGATACCAGCATTAGTCAACATTTCTGGCATTAGTCAACATTTCTGGATTTCTCATCTAAAATAGGGCTTGTGGCAAAAACACAAGCTCACCAGGAACTAAGTTGAACTCATCTAGGCCAAAAGCTATAGTCTAAAATTGTAATGCTTTCTGGTTTAGGAAGCAGACTTCTTTCATTTTATTCTAATATTGACATTAGTAACATTAATTTCATATTAACATGATGTTAGCTTCATGACTCCTTGACATGCTAACTGAATGGATATTTTTGTGGTCTTTGTTTCAGTTTAATGAAACAAATGTTTTCTCTGTGGCTGCTGATGAACAATTAAAGGCATGATGGGATATGATCTTGGATTCCAACAGTCATACCTTCTGCCATATCACATGTGTATGGCAGGAGGCATGATAGTGGAATTGTTGATTTGGTTCCCAACTGGCCCTACTTCTGGTGCCTGGATGGTAGTGATCCTGGGTTTCCCCTGTACTGGCAGGTAGCAAGCCAGGTGCCTGGTGCATCCCTAGCTGGGAATGCCAGTCAGCTGATCAGCATTCCCTGCCCTGGGAGAGCACCAGAGCCTTTGAAGGCTGGTTGGAGCTGGTCACAAGTTCAATTCCAGTTGCAATAGGACCCAGCCACAAAGTTATTACACATTTTATGTAATGATTTTGTGGCTTATTCCCTGTTTCATTGCACCATTAATTACATGAATTTGCAGCCAGGTTACTGTTTAAGATGTGATTAACTGGTTAATTATGTCTTGACTGTAATGTCTGCTAGATGCTTACAAGATGTTTTAATACAGTGGTTTCCAACCTTTTTTTTTACCACGGCCTGGTGGGAGCAAGACAGGGTGTGCGGAGCTGGCCGCTTCCTTCCTGGGGCTCCTCCGCCGCTTGGCTTTAACCCCAGAAGCTCAGATGTGACCCCGGAAGCCGCTCAGCCAGGCGGATGGACCTGGATCCAAGTGGGGGGCTTGTGCCGTGACCCTGCAGCCAACCTACTGTGGCCTGGTGTTTGGGGATCTCTGCTTTAATATAAAGGGAAATAGAACAAACAAAGAATATAACTCAAATTGCTTGAATGATTTCTAATTTATTTTAATCCAGTTCCTATGATTTTTGCTCCAAGCAGCATGAAGGATTGGAGATGAGGAGAACTCCCCAAAAGGAATATTATACTTAAAGTTCTTGGGGTGCAGTTGTGTTAAGGGTGGGCTCAGCTATTGGTAGTTTAAGGGGATGTTTAAGTGTAAGGGGATGTATTTTTAGTAGTTGTAGAATACTGAAATACTGGCTTATATGTTTTTTTCTAAACTCTGCTTTTGATTTGTTGATCATTTTGCAAGCATGGTGCTCTCGCATGGCTAGGAGCTGCAATTAGCTGATTCGAGTCCCCAGCCAGGAGAGTTCAGTGGAAGCTTTGGCTCTGATGTGCTTCACCGACTGGGAGCACCTGTCAGCTGATTGTGGTTCCCAGCCAGGGAGTGCATGGACCCGAACTTGCTACTTGCCAGTGTAGAGGCGCCCCGGCAGTTTGGCGCAATGGGTCCGATGCTCGATCCCATAATCATGCCTCCTGCCATGAGTGTCTGGCGTGGCAGGGGGTGCAATTGTTGAGATTGCACTTCAGATCCCATCGCACCTTTTAATTTAACACCTGTCAGCAGCCTTAAGAACATAACATGTTCTGTGTGCTTACAATTATCAGTTCTCTCTCTTAGTCAGCTTCAAGGCTGGTTCTAGCACATCTTTATTTGAATAAAGTCAGATTCATTCTCTTCTCTTCTCTTCTCTTCTTATTGGTTCTTTAAATAAACTATTTATGTAGCTGAAATTTTAACTGGTTGTAGTATTTTGTCATCTTTAAAAATCAGTCATTTGAGATGAACTCTGACAGCTTGTTGTGTGGAGTTTACAATCTTCATAAAAGCTGCAGATTGTAGGAAGAGGACCTTTTTTCAAGAGAGAGAGTTAAAAATACAGCCTGTAATTGGAAGGACAAAGAATGTTTCTAAGCCTCTGGACTTCTTTATTAACATAAGGTTCAGAGCAATTCATATAATGCACAATGTTTATATTTTGTTAAGCTTTTGTTTTTAAGGTAGCATTTCAATAACTTTTGGCCCATAAATGAAACCAAAAATACTAACCTTGGTTTATATATTCTGCAAAGCCATGATAGGTAACTTTTTAGCATGTTACCAGTTCTTCTTTCTTCGGCGTTTTTTGGCAATTTGAAGGAAACTTCTTTAATTAGTATGTTGTAGTTATTACCTAAATCTAATGCTTCTGGATCAATAATCTCTTTTTAACTTGATTAGTTGCCTTCAAATTGTTATTGGAGCAGATGTATTTGCATATAATTCTTTATATTGCATTATTCTTACTGCTTTTGAAAATCAGAGTCCTGGTATTTGTTTGGGCTGTTTTCACTTTGGGCTGTTTCTTGTTTTATTTTTGTTTTGTTTTTAAAGGCAGTATAATTGCACTGTGACAGTATGGCAAAAATTTATTTTTATTGTATATAGAAAAAAAACCTAGAAATAGACTGTTGCTTTACAGTCTTGTGGCTCTTTCTTTTCTTTTTTTAATAAAAAACCCGGATGAAAAACACCCTTAAAATTGCCTTGAAGTAGTAACATCATTCCTTTTTTCCTTCCAGGTAACTGTGAACCCACCTAACCGACCACCTGATGCTGTTTTTTCTGATGTCACAACAGTTGATCAGGTAAAATTTTCCTTTTTAAAGAAGGGAAAGATTTCTTTTAAGTTTTCACTTGGAGAAAGTCCTACCATGGTTCCTCTTCAGTTTTAATGAATTCTATATTTGAACTAAAGTAAATAATGCAAGTAGGTATCATAAGCACATATTACATTTTTGTCCAATATGTCCCTTGCTTTTGTAAGGGCACTACATTACTAACATGCATTTATATTGTTGTAAAATTACTGTCAGGGAAGCTAAAATAATTAGCATGTCATACAAGATTTACCAAAAATAATAGCAAAATCAGAATTCTAAAAAACTGCACAAAGGCATGATGAGATGCAGTGATAATGCTCGACAAAATATAGATGAGTAACAACCTGCAATATTATTTCTGTATTTTGCAAATACACCCATCATAATCTCAGGTTGTCTATACAAAAATATAAAAGTAAAACATGGAACCTAACACATTGACAAACATTTGCTCAGTCACACTTCCCTTTAACAATACCCAAAATCCCAATACTTCATATACATCCATTTCTGATAGCAATATCCATAGTAAATGCACAGGTCTTGCATAGACCCCAGAAGTGAACAAATTCAGACTGTTAAGAAGCAGATTCTAGCACTACCAGCACTCCCATTTATGTCTCATAACAAAGAGGGTTAAAAGTTCCAAAAGTGACAAGGAATTCTGACTCCTAGATGTTTACTGACTTTCAGTGGAATTATAAACTCAGAAAAACTAAATGCTCAAAGGGGACTTAAGCTCAGCATTGCTGTAGCTAACACCCAAGTTCTGTGCCAGTTTCTAAAATTCATAGACCATTTTGGTGCCCCAGCTCTTAAACATGCAAATACATCAAGATTCTCATGCTGGATCAGTTCAAGCATCCATCTAGCCCAACATCTTGTCTCCGGCAATGGCAAGTAATAGAGTTTGAGAGTTCGGACAAGTGTAAGGTAATCCATTTCCCTTGTCATTGGGCTTGCATCCCTGACTATTGTGACTAATTTCCCCTGATAGCCTGTCTGGTATGAATTTGTCCAGTCTGTCTTTTTGAACCCAGTTACATTTTCTAGAGAATCTTGTGACAGTGAGTTCCAAGAGTTAATTTTAGACTGTTTAGAAACAAAACTTTAAGTTTTTGTTCTAAATTAGCTGCCTAGTCATTTCATTGGATATTCTCTAGTTCTTTGTGTTATGAGACGCAATGAATAACCATCCTCTGGTCATCATTGTATAGACTTCTGCAATTTGTCTGTCTCCCAAAATTAAAACTCCCAGACTTTGGTATCTCCACATATGGAAGCTGTTTCATACACCTAATCACCTTTGCTGCCCTTTCTTATACTTGTTATCATTTTGCTATATCCTTTTTGACACTTACACCTTTTAAAAATTTCTCCTCTATGTGACCTGCCCACAGTCACAAAAGTAGTCAGTGTGCAGCAGGGGGATTTTTTTTTGGATTTAATATATGTTGTATATAAAATATAAACCTACAAATAGATAGACTGACATCCCTGCCATAAGACTGTTCTTTCCCATTCACCTGCTACAGATTTCCTGTACCCTTGACAAACTCAGAAACAGCACAAAGACTTTACATGAACATTTATTCAAGATCTTGGTGTCTTACATAAAATCCAGTTTCCTGTTTAAGGTCACCTTTAGAAAGCACTGATCTAATACTGAGTATTAAAAAAAAAAAAAAAAAAAAAAAGTAGATAAAAAGACTCTTCCCACAGGATCAGAAGATGCCGGGGTCTTAGGTTGCTTGTGTGAGAGAGAGAGAGTTGTGTTTGTCTAGCGCTTTCAGGAGAGGAGCAGAAAATCGTTAGTTTAACTAATGTGGCGGTATCTCCATAAATCATGCCAGAAGTGCCTCCCGTAGCACCTGCCTTTATATGTTTCATTTTGAGGCTTGCCTCCCTTAGTCTCTGGTCTGATTTGCCAGAGGTTTTAAATATGCTGCGGTTTTTCCCTGGTGATCAGTGGCAAACAGCATGGCCAGTGGGGCCCCTCCACCAATTGGGAGTGATGGAGGCAAGTGGTAAAATGAAAAACATTAAAGGAACTGATGCAGGGGGTCACTTCCAGTGCAATTTATGGAACTCCCTACTAATGAGCTCTTCAGTTTTGGCCAATCATTGCACCCTTGTAACTATCAGACTTTGCCCTTTTATCCCTTCTGGAGTGGAATTTTACGATTTCCCTGCCTGTTCCCTATCTCTACCTGGCCCTGACTTACAGTACGCTGTATATTCACCATAGTAAATGATCTAATTGTAGTGTTTTGGATTGGGGGTCAATGATCAGTGGTGCATACAGTAGCCAGACAACTTACCTAAACTAAAGTGGTGTTTCTTTTTTTAACAGTGGAGCAAAGAAGAACATAAGAGGAAAAAACATTTTGAAACAATTAATGGAATGCATGAATCTTCCTCATCTTGTGGTGGCTGCTGTAGGAAGGCCTTGCTACTGCTGATATTTATATCACTCTGACCAGCTCCCCAAGAACCTCCTTCCCCTCTGAGAAAGTCACAGTTTATCAGGCCAGAGGTCCTTTGTCATCTTAACTGCTAGGTGTTTTGGCCCTGCTGGGTTTTTTTGTTTTGTTTTTTTTTTTAAAAAGAAGAATGGTTTGGTGGGCTCAACCCATGTTGAGTCAACCTCCTCGGGGCCAATGGCTTTCCCATCATGTAACAAGACTCGGATATCTTATCTAGAATCATTATTTCACTTCCTTTGTTTCAATAACCAGGCGAGCATACAATATTAACAAGAATCCCCTCCCTCCCACCCCCCACAATGACCCATTTGAGGTTTTTCTGACCTCGGCGGACTGAATAACTTCAGTGGGAATTGCCCTAGATCCCAAATTAGCAACTGCACTATGCATGGAGCATAAATAAGCTTTCACCAGTTTACTATGTAGAACATATTCTGTTTGTTCTGTAGGATGATATAAATAACGTTGTTGAGGGCCGAGTTTGGGGGGGGGGCTGGGGGAAGATTGCAGCTGCTTAATTACATGCAGATACGAAAAATTTCGCTTCAATTTCTAGATTTAACTTTAAAAAAAAGACTTGACCCTGAATGCTGACAGACTATTAACATTCAAATTGTCTTACTATATTTCTTTATGAACAGAGCCCTGCAGTACTCTGCAAAGGGATGCAAAAGAGAAAGAGTGGCCTGGGTATCTTTCCCAAAGAAGTTAATTGAAACATTTTGTTGTCCATTCCTGGCAGGATCCATTGTTAGGGCTTTTAAAAACTAATGGTCAATGGCATCAGGTTGTTGTCAGGCCATGCATCTGTGGTAACTGATTTAAAATGTTAAAATTACAGTTATTACGTGGCTTGGTAGAATTGGAAGACAGTACAGGGCTTTCCACATGGTAGCTATGTAGGTACATAGTGGATGTACTTTAACACATTTAAATTGTGCAGTTAGTCATGCAGCCTGTATGAGCCTGGGATTGTCATGCTATGGTAAGAAGGGAGACAGACCCCTGCACATGATGAGCATGTTGGTACAGAGTTGTAAAGTGTTAAGGCATTTTTATGACGATTTCTTAGCCTGTGGATTACAATTGCTGGGGTGGGGAGTATTCAGTATCATGAGCAGTCTTTGCAAGAGTCTGTAATATAAGGAGGGATGGTGGGTTCACTCTTGTTTTTGGCAGGTGGTCCCAGCCAGTTCCACATATTGGCCATTGCCAATAACATGCTTGATGTAGATGTCCCGTGACCATCTGATAGTGTCAGTTAACATGTGGTGCCTCATCAGCTTTGAGTGGCGCTGGGATACTCTGCGGGCTCTTGGGATGTGCTCACTGCTTACGTCCCAAGTTACTAGTGCCCCAATGGTCAGTGCCTGTACTGTTATGCTGGGGCCTTCAGCATCTAGTCCTGTATGGCCTGGTGGCAGAGTTGTAGTGTGTAGGATGTGGGGCAGAGTGTTGCTCTTAATAGCCATATCTCTGGCATCTCCTGTCTTGGTGATTAGGAGATGGCACCATTGAGCAGGAAGTAGTCAAAATGGGTATGGTGGATGAAATGCCAGTATGTGAAGTGAGTGAAGATCCCACGAGGCATTAAGTGGTTGCTGGTGCCCCCGTCAGACTTTGACCTGATCAGATTTTGCCTTCAGGTTGTGCGGGCCGGGAGCGGTCCGAGGCCCTTTTTTCGCGCGGCGGGCTGTGGCCAGCAGCCCGGACACGCTGGGTCGGGGAAGGCAGGCGGCACGCTAGAATTGGGCATGGACGCTTAATGGTTGATTTAAGATTATTTACTTACACAGTAGATGGTCACGGTGCAGGCTGGAAAACTTCCAGGAAAACTTCGCTTAAGTCCCAGTTTAAGGACTTGGACAGAGCTCTGGATTCACTCACACGAAGTTTGCTAGGCTCCGTGGAACTTTGCGCGCAGGGAAAGGGTACGTCGAGGATTGCGCTCGGCGACGGGGAGAGGCAAGAGGCTGATCAGACCCCTGTAGCCTTCTTGAAATACACGCTGGGTCCAATAGGCTCCGCAGCGCTTAGAGATCTTCACAAGACATGAAGTCTCCTCCTCCTGATGTTCGTGGAGTCCTCCAACTTGGGCGGAAACCACTCAAGCCTCTTATACGGCTAGCAAGCCAATCGCTAGCCGCCACGTAGGAATAATTTAGAACTGACCAATAGTGGGGCACGAATCTGAATACAGATGGCGGGAACTCCTTGCAACATGCATCTCCTTTCTGCAGCTAAGAAATGCACCCTGCAAAGAAAGCTACAAGTGGCGGGAAATAATTCAGCAGTGCCAAAGCGCACACAAACAAAAATCACACCCTTGGGTTGTGACACAGGTCACTGATGTCCTCTGTCCATATGGAGTCCTTCAGGATCATGTGGTAACTGTCCTACATCTATATCTGTTCCAAAGAGAAGGACAATCAAGAAGATCATAATTAAACAGGCAAGAAAAAGACTTTGCAGTCTACCTAACGCCTTAGTTACATTGTC